GCCCAACCCCCACCACGCGCACCTCGATGTTGGGCGACCCCACCCTGGCCACCAGCGCCGCCAGCGCCTCCCGGCTGCCCATGTCCTCGTGGTGCTCCTTCATGACCGCCAGCTCCCACATGCCCGCGGCCCCCTCCAGCTGCAGCGCCTCCCCGGGGGCCTCCAGCTTGGCCTGCAGGAATTTGAGCGCCAGCTGGCGGCGGCGGCCGGGCGCCCACGGCTGGTCGGCGACGAGCTGGCAGGCGGGGGCGGGACGGGGCCGTCGCAGCTTTGCGCGTCGCCGCGGCTTTCGCCTGCACTACTATCGAGGTGCTGCGTCTGCTGCTAGCGACGCGCGCCCGCCCCCGAAACCCTACTGCTACCAGCACTGCACAGACATCCCATGAAGACTGCCTGGGCTCCGCGTTCCATGCGTCATGTCACCCCCTTGTCAGCCGGCAGCCTGCCCCAGGAGAAAACCCCTCGTCAACCGTTGCCGCCCATCGCCCGCCCCCCACCGCACCTCCTGCCACTCCTCGGTCGCGGCGATCTCCCGCCGCTGCACATTAAAGCTCAGGTCTGGCCGGTCCCCCCTGACCGGCAGCCGGTCGTCAAAGTATGGGGGCACCGCCCACATGTGCAGCTCCGTGCCTGAGTACACGCCCGTCTTGGTTATGATGCGCTTCGTGCCATCCTCTGTCAGCGACACGTCGGTTTTGGGGTCGCCTGCGGGTCAACAGGTGGAGGGGGCGCGGGGTTTGTGGCCGGGGGGTTTGTATTCGTCGCCCGCCGTGACGGCGCGTGCGGGCCCGTGCTGCTGCACGCGCGGCCGGCCTCGATGCGCAGAGGTTGATACGGCATCTTGGAGGCTGCGGCGCGCCCGCGCTGCCCAGCGGCGGCCGCGGCAACGCACCTGTCTGCTCCCATTTTGAGGGGTCCTTCCCGAGCAGCGACCCCAGGCGCTGCAGCAGAAGCTCGAGCGTGTCGTCAGTGGTCGGGGTGCACGGCGCGCCTAGGAGCGGCGGCCGAGGGCCCACGCCTGCTAGCAGCCGCTTGAGCGTCTTGGGCTTTATCACTGGGATCTGCAGCACCTGTGTTTACATGTCACAGGTGCGATTGCGTGCGCTAAGGCGCGTGCAAACCCGACTGCGTCGCATGAGGGAGGCAGCGGACAGCCAAGGTGCATCAGTGCGCCGGTCAAACGCGGCGAGCCCGGTCAAGCTCACCTCGCCTGCACCCTCTAGACGGGCATCCACCACAAAGGTACCAGGCCCGCATTTGTCACCGTCCACCCCCATGTTGCTGCCCGAACTGTCTTTCATCCCGCGGCCTTCATTTGTGCACCGCCTTCACGTCATGAGGCTGACGTTGTAGAAGTAGAATATTGTGAAGATATGATGTTGTTAGTGCCACGAAGCAGTTTTCTTGATGAGATGTGTAGATCTGCGTCTCGCGCAGCTAGGAGGACGTAGAAGGGCTCAAGTGATCTCTGCAGACCTCTCCATATGCCGTGAGCAGCGATTACTCAACGGTGTGCGTGCTGCTGGCCAGGCAGCATCTGATGCTGCCGCCTGCCATCACCCAGGGTAAGGGGTGCAGTACCGCTATGGTATTTGCGGTAGCTTGACAGGCGCACCTCAGCAGCCTGCTGGGGCTCGCTGATGGACTCAGCGTGTGGGCACTTGCAGGGGCCTGTCCATGCCCGCTACTGCGTGCTGGCGACCGTGCGGCATGCGAAGCGTGACGCTAGCACGGGGCATCTGCAGTTGGCCACGAGGCCAACCTGGTCTTGGCTGAGGCACATGCATCGCTCGGCGATGCTTGGCGCAGCCCAGCGCGGCGCAGCATGGCGTGGCACTGCATCTCCTGACCGTTACGGTCTCCTGCCCACAGTGTCGGCCCGCCAGCACACGCGCGTGCTACGTGCGCCATGAGGGCGTCACCCGGGCTCGCCACCACTGTGTCCGACAGCGGGTGCCGCTGGCGCAGCGACGGGTGTGTCGACGCATACACGGGTGCCTTTGCGTCTGGATGAACTAACGTGCATCGTGCGGCCCCTCGACGGGGTGGCGGGGCAGGGAATCACCAGCCTTAGCACGGGATCTGGGGCTGGCGAACACAAAGTTGATAATCAGCTGTATGATGATTCGACGAAACACAAGTTGATCTGTCAGCACGACGTTGTGTACGGTTGCCAGCCAAAGTCAAAAAGTTCGGCTTTGTACACAGCCTTGCGGCCACAACGTCGAAGAACCGATTGATAATCAACTCTATTTGTGGTTGTTGAGGGATCGAGCAGCGTCCAGTTGATCGCTCCGATGAAGCAGCCTAGTTAGCAGGACGACAGCAAGCCGCAGGAGGGGATGGCTGGCCATCCCGCCCTTATGGAGGATGGGCAGCCAAAGGGCTGGAGGCGGATCTGCTCGTGCTTCCGGCGGGGCAAGCGGGGTGCGGCTCAAGAGGCGCGCGTTGTCATGTTTCCCCAACACGCGCAAACGCTGCTGCACTCGCGCGTCGGGCAGCAGCGCTACCGCGGCAACAGCACGAGGACGACCAAGTACACGCTGCTGTCGTTCCTGCCCAAGTCGCTGTTTGAGCAGTACCGGTGCGGCGGTGTGGGCGGGACGCGGCCGGGTGGGCCGAGTCTGTCCACCTTGCGTCATGAATTCGTCACAGCCGTCGGGCCGAACTTCGCTATGCTTGAGCATACGATGGCCCCACACAGCCCTGCGACCCGTATTCATGGTCGACGCACACCAACGTGGATGCGCAGGCGCGTCGCGAATATCTACTTCACGCTCAACGCGCTGCTGTCGGTGACGCCGTACAGCCCCGTCAGGTGGGGCCCCGCAGGGCGGCCCCACAAACGGCGCCAGGCACCACGTTGCGCACGCGACACCGAACCGGCAAACGCTGCAGCCACGCGCGGCAGCCCACGGGTCGAAGCGGCGCATGGCAATCGCCGCGCGGGGCCAAGGGCCGGGCGCTGCGCCGTGTTGCGCTTTCGAGACGTCAGCGAATCTCAGCCGTCCGCGGTTTCTTATTCCGACCCCAGGCCATGGACCACGTTCCTGCCGCTGGCGCTGGTGCTGGGCATAGCGATGATGAAGGAGGCGGTGGAGGACTACAAGCGGTACAGGCAGGACGTGGAGGTCAACAACCGCAAAGTGGAGGTGCGCAGCAGCTGCCGGGAAGCTGCCGAGGGGGGCGGGGG